TATATATATATATATACTGGTGAAACCGTGTCAGTAAAACAATAAGACACCCACTTTTTACGGTATCCCACAGGAGTTCAGTAGAGTCTGGCCGACGATTGGCAAGCAAACCTCGCATACTGGTGCACGAAACTGCATCGAATGTTGTGTTTTGTTTGACCTGATCTATGGTTTTGTTAGGAACCAGATAAAACACTAACAAATGAAAATATTCGGCAAATTCGTTTGAAATTCCTCTATAGTGAGCGAAGACTGATTGGAATTCCACGAGGACAGGCCCAATTCGTGAGCTTCATAAATTGTCTGAAGATTGAAGCAAAAGGACAAATAACTCACCTTCAAAACCTTCAGATCATCGAGAATCGAAGGTAGGCAAGAGCCTGAGAGAAGATCAACCTCTGTACTCTATGGGTTATATACTCGACGTTATGATTATGCGGTTAAATACCAATGATCCAACGACGAAAGAAAGTGGTGGTCCAATGAGGCTTTCACACTTATCAAACTGTGCGGTGAACGTAGCACAAGTAAACTGGTAGACGGCTTCGTATCGGCATCTGAATTCCTAAATGTCTGTTGGAGTCGGAACCAAACATAATTACAGGATACAGCAGTGTATGTCTCCGCTGAACATCAGTAAGACTCAACGAAAGGTCGGGATCTATGGGGGGGACTATTGCGCGGGCAGTAATCTACCTGTCACGATATTAATCCGCAAAATCCGTTTGCTGGTTTTCGTTAGCGGGAAAACACCGAAAAGCTTCGAGCCCTCGTCACACAAATAATAAAGCATTCCATCTTTGAAATCAATCTGTGAACTGTAAAAATGGGTATACTGGTGTGTAAGATTACCAGGAAACGGGTCTTTTTCCCGTGAGATCCAAGAGTTTCGAGGTTTCCTTATCTCTTCTTGTCGTTTCATGGATAAGTTTGGACTCTAATGATAAGTTGACGATTTCCGGAATCTCTAAAGGATTCCCAGATAAGTTGTGCGCAGCTGATGTCTCATGGGAGTGAAATATGTTAGCGCTGGGCAAACTCTCTCCATCCGACCAAACGAATCCCAGACACCGGAGACCAAACTGGCAATGAATCAAATCAATCATGAGTAGTAAAGCAGCCCGATCGACTGTCTGGCGAAATCGGCTGCAAGGAAGTAAATACGAGCATTTTAAAAGCAGACATGAGGAACGTGACAGGGTTGAAATTTCAACGTTTTCTTGAGCGAGTCCCATATCAGAAAACACACTTTATGTAGCTGAGTAGCGCGGTAAAACCACACCAACTTCAACCTTTGTCCTTCTCAGAGGCTATCAGGTTGTGTAGCTTCAGACACTTGGCTATTTAACTTCGACAACCACACCTGGTGTCGGAGTGCTGTATTAATGAATAGAGGCCGCGATCGACGGGACACATCACCATGCCACCACAGAAAAAATATAACAAGGACCTTCTATGTTAGCTTATCACTTTCCCCGCTATATTCGCTATACCACTTACGCAAGGTACTTCTCATATCAACGTTCTATTGTGTACATCCTCTAAAACGTTTCAACTATGGGACTAAATCATCCGGGCTATCTATTCCCATACTTCTGGTCACGTTTGGGTGTACGGTGAGGCACCTAAAAGTTTCTTCACAGGTGAGCTTTGTCTAGGATACTCCCCATCCACATTTATGTTCAGTTCTACTAAAACGAGAAAAAATTATACCATCACGGAGTATACTCTCGAGGTATGGGTGCTGAAATCACATCCGAAGGACGACAGGCTGAGATTATGCGGATGATATCGTTCCGTTATTTTACGATCCAGCATTCGCAAAAAAACAACCCCAACGAGGATATTCTTCACGGCCATAAGCCTCTTACAATAAGCCCCAAAATACCCATTTATATCCACCTTTCATTATGCGTATTGCGTTTGAGCACCAGGTTCCAATACACAAGTGTTGCTGTCCTTGATGACGACGATGACGAAGAAACCTGTACCTGAGGGACATAACCAAGAGCGAGGTGCCTACGCATTCAAGCACGTTTGAAATAAATACAGTTGTGAACGGCTTTGTAGCGAAACGTCAAAAACCAGGTTGAACCAAAGTCCTTTTAGAAATTAACCATCCAACACAAGTCCAGCACACGACAAACTATGATTAGGCAGTTCAACTAGCAAGCTCAACACTGGGATGCGTTAGGCGCCATGTTCTATAGAGTCTCCAACCACGCGCAAAGAGAAGATGGATACTACCGAGAAGATGACAGTAACCACCTTCATTTTCCGTTGGCACCTTAGGGCTCATCCTCTTTAAACCCTTCACCAAAAGCGGTCGGGAGTGAAAAACAAAGCGCCGGTGTTAGAGAGTGATGAGACATATGCGATGCATACTGCAGCTACTTTAAACCTTTGAGCCCTATCTGCCACCCGAGGAAGGACCACTTATTACGTAAAGCTTACAGACCGTTAGAATCATCACCAAAAGAGACAGATATCGGTATTGTATAGTGACGCTTCGCTGACATTCAACCATTTATTTGAAGAACTAAGTGTAGAGTAAAGAATGAACATAGATGAGAGACCGAGCGCTAGCCTACCAAAATCATCCCGAGATGCCTATACCAGCAGACACTCATTCCAGCAACCCAGGTAGAAACTGTCAACAAGAAACCACTGAGATCGACCAGAATATGCAGCGCCTACAACTAGGCATAATGGAGACCGCGGACCCCATCGTTGAAGACCAGTCACACCGGCAGCCAGGATTTCCTGATCTCTTCCATGCCTCAACATCACCACAGGAAGCAACAGCAGTGCTGACATCGGTACCTCACAGCCGTACAACTACAAAGTTTACCTGATTACGTTTAAATAGTTGAAGTCAAAAGAAGTCAAAGAACACCAAGACTGAGTCGTTCATACATATGGTGCTGCTCTAACATCTGACAGAGTGCGGAAATGTGGTTGACAGACTCCACCAAGTCGCAACCTCACTGGATGGTCACAGGTCAAGGTTTCGCGTGCCATCGCAAGACCAAGAAGGATCAGTGACGCCAGGAGCCTTTTTAAAACGAGGGTGGTTACTGCACTCACTGCGAGTAAGCCTTTTGAAAACGGGCACTATTACCGACTAACCCCAGTGACCTGAAACGGTCGCTTTCTCCCAGACAGACGCAAATAGGCTACGCCAGCACTGCCTGAGGAATCTACCGCCATCCATCAACAGGTTCAAGGTTGTCAGGGCTAGGGTCACAATGACGCTTAAGTAGATAAAAACACTCGGACACTTATGAGGCTGAGGAGTGATCCATGCTCAGCCCATTTTTTCTGTTGCAGGCCGGTAGTAAGGATTGGAAGTTGAAAGTAGCCAACTGGATTATTGTTGTACTGGGACCAACGGCCCAAACGTTCTCACTTGCTGGATATCAGAGAGCCATTCTGATCCACTGTAGTCCCGCTGACTAGAGATTTCTGAGGGCCAGTCGAACTAAGTAAGTGGAGCAGTCTGCAGACATTTCCAGCATTCTTAGCATCTTCCACTTATTCCACCATTCGGGTCCCCCAAGCTTTGGGGATGAATGCATATTTAAATTCACCTGGCGACGGATGATGCGTCGGGTTGAGTTGTGGTTGCGGCCACAAGGAACCTCTCTCCGGGACTCCGGGAGAGCAATGGCCCTATCGGAGATCCAAGGTCTGGATGACGTTGGCTGGGTTGTGTCGCAAACGGAAATTCAGGCGTAGAGTGGTACTTCAGATATCTGTTCCGACTGGTCGTTAATATCCGAGATCGAACCGTTCGACAGACGTTCCAGGAGCCGGTTCTAAAAGGTCCGTTTGACTTCTGGGTCCGCTAGTTTCTCAATAGGTGTGCGCGTTTATCCTAGGCCCGAAAAGCGCAATGAAAAGCAGCAGCTCTCAAGTGCCTGATCGGAATTCAGGTTGGCATTCCACCAGCAGTGGCACGCAGTGATCGACCCACACTACTGGCAAGTGGCGACAATGTGGACTATTTGATTTCGGGACTGGCTCGTTGGTGGGCAGCACGTTCTCAGGCGAATCTCTATGTTCCGGAAATTCGTACAGGAAAGAAACAGTCCGTGATTGGCACACATCTGAAGCAGGTGTTCTCGGTTGTCCTTACGTCTCGCATCCAACCCAAGAAGGTCACCCAACTGGATCTCAGCAGCGTTCAGTCTATCTACGAGGCGGCATGGCTGTGGTTATAGCGCGAATTTACTGACCCGAAGGTCTATGGTTCGGACCCGACCTCTGTCTCTCGACTCCCCCTGTCTAAGCTTGGGAAACCTGGCAGTATCCCAACCCTCGTGCTTCCTTCGGGTGGCATGGCAGTTAGGCACAGAAAGGACGCTACAGCTGAGCGACCTAGGAGTTCATGTCACCAGAAACCACAAATATGTCTGAGCTTTTAGCCCGTTGTAAAACAGTACCCCCAATCGCCATACAAGCCGTCTTCGGCAGATTCAGAGCCAATTGGGGCGTAAGCAGACAAATTCGCAGACAATGTGAGATGGACCTCACTTTCTCATTTTTTTCACATAGGTTACCAAACGAACCACGCAGAGGCGGCCATCGAGTATGCAACCAAGTACCAAAATAGTCGTACGCGCACCTCAGACACGTTCGAGGATCCACTAGGCTCTCTCTGGTTTTTAACTGTATTTCGGCGGTCAAGGTTTACCGTTGGACGATAAGTGTGTGGGCTTTATAACCCGACCTTCTTCGGAGTAAAGCAATATGACTGTTTCCATAAATATCGACATGCTGGTCACCGGGAAAGAAACACCTTAATGCTCCACACTTCAGAAGATAGAACGAATTCACCTCCGGATGGGCCCACATTACGACGAATTCTAATGCGGCGGCATAGTGCTTTTCGTCTGGTTGCTCCGCATTGGCCTCCCTAGCATGGTTGTATCTTGCTTAACGGATTTCCAGCCAATGTAGCTCGTGGAATAATTCTAGTAGTCAAGCTTGATGACAACGGCAAAGTGGTAGCTTTCGGTTGGAACTGTGGGGAACGAAAGGAAATCTGTCAGCTTGAGACAGTCAGGTGGTTAATGAAGCTTTTACCACCACACCTAATGCCCAAGTTGCACTCAAAGTAACGAAATAAATAACGAAATAAAATAAAAAACGGAATAAAAAATTTTATCGTTAGTTCGTGCCGTACCATTTGAACCTGCATGATAAATACCTCGTTTTCGACTGCATAGTTATAACTATACAAATAGAACCATAATTTGGTTTATATGTACTGCAACAGCGTTTTTGAGCGCCTTTCAGCGGCTGTGTATATATACACAGTCGCTGAATGGCGCTTTAGGTGTCACTGATTTGTGTCAACACTCTCATCAGATGCATGTAGAGACCATGTAAGCCACCGGGGAATGTACTTACAAAAGGTTACACCTTAGGCAGACGGAGTGCGACTGGAACAAGCGCTCAAAAACGCTGTTGCAGTGCATCTAAACCAAATTATGGTTCTATTTGTTATTAAAATCCCACGGAGCCTTTCGTAAACTCCTCACGGGTCAGAAAAAGAAAAATCGAAAAGTTGTGGTAATAGTGATATCCAATGTAAAACATGGTATGGATACAGTCAATGGGTCTGGTCGGGTGTATCTGTAATAGAAAGAGAGATGCACGTATGTGTGCATCTTATGTATACATAAGGTCATATGATAAACACTTGTGAGCAGGTATAGTTGGATCTCAATTGCGTCACATGAGGGCTGACCGGACTTCGCGCAATAAGCGACAAATTGAGTCAGTTGTGCATTTAAAGAAAATAGTCTTAAAGGTGACCTTGGACATGGTGGAAACATTCAACATGTTTCGTTCTCTTGGCTTCTATTTATCAACTGATACATCATGAGCCCGTATAGCGAGGGGATCAGTGGTAATAACGTTGCAAACTTAGCCACTTTTGGCTGCACTGGCCGTCACTAGTCACCCCTTAAATGGGATGGCGAAATCTTAAACCAACCATGTCTGTTGTGCTTGGATATGCCTATCCGAAGCCTCGGATACGGTTAGAGGAGCCCTGAATATCTCCCAGATGCCTAGTCAGGATATGTACCAGAGCCCAGTCACCACTCGCAGGGTGCGGAACGCTCTGCACCGATGGT